AGTTTGCATTAGTCTGTCAGTGCTGAAACCAAGTTTAAATAACTTTTCAAAAGAATTACACTCCAGACGTATTTAACAGTACCTTACCGTAGTAATGCACAAAACACACACGTACATAATCTCTCTCTCTCTCTCTTTCTCTCTCTCTCTCTCTCTCCCATCTACTTGTCTGTTACCTAGAAAAAGAAAGGCATTATGTCTTAGTGATTGAGGAAGGAGGCTGTTGCTAGGTGATAAAAGGAATCTAACTCTCTGAATACATATGCTATTTAAGTTTACTTTTTAAATTTTCACCTAATTCTACTAAAGATTTGGTTGAAATAAAACCTGCTATTAATCAACCTGGAAGGCATCTGTGAAGATAGCCCACAGCAAAACACCTGTCAGTTATTTCTCAGTTCATAGAAGTCTGCATCCTTTAGCAATACTCATTTTTCAAACCCTAAGCTCTCAAAGACAGACTAAGAGAAAACAAACTGTAAATAATTAAAATTCCTTTCATTTTCATCTTCCAACAGTTGTAGGTTTTGTGCAAGTATCAGACATTCGCTGTTAAAATGTGCTTCTGCACTCCAAAACTGGGGGCTGGCCATTGTCTGGAAATTTACTTTAGCTGCACTGAAACCAAAATTTCATCATAGATCAGGTTCTCGGTATTTATGACTAATTATTCTCTTGGTTTTGATTCTTTCAAAATTCTCCATACCTCCATCCTGATAAACATTTAGGAAATGATGGAAAAAAATTCCTGAAATAGTTCTTCCTAATATGTTGTACTTTACCAACATTATTTTTGAAACTCTTGACAGTGAGCCCAAACCCCTATGCTGGAGTTTTGTAATCCTAAACGGATACATGCACTCAAATACTTTAAGCATATAACGTCCTAGGAGGACCCCATCCCATCATCTTAGATACTCCAGACACTTATTTACCCTTCTCATTGTATAACCACTAGTCCAACAGTTAACTTGATTGAGGGGGGGAAAAAAGAGAAAGACACACACACTCTCACAGAGCTCCTCCCCGATGGGTAAGAACATCCATCATTGCTCCGTATTTACTTACTTGATGGCAGCACAACAGCTAAGCTCCAGCTCCCCCCAATCACTGGGAGGTATGGTATCCAAAGGTACCAATTTCAATTTAATAATTTTGCTTGCATCTCCCTTTGAATCCTAGAACTGTTCATAGAAATTGTGTATTTACTTATGAGTATCTTTTTGGACTTAGTGATCTTACTGAATTATAGTCCACTTTTGGAGCTCGTGTAAATGTCAGTGTTTACCCTGATGACATTAGTAGAAACTACAGAATCTGAACAATAATCTTACCCTTTTTCCAACCTGGCTGTAGGATACCCAACTTTCCATACAGTATACAAACGGTTAATAGCTGAAGATAGCTCAAGATATACAATTTCAAAGGCAACAGATCAGATAATAGGGAATGCAAATCTTCTGGGCAAAGTTCAGACTTACAGTGTTTAGAGGGCATTTTTCGATTCTAAACAACTATTAGTTTGATAGAGTACTAAAAGCACTTACTGCCATTTTACCAACTCAGATGTCTGTGGCAACAAAGTATTTTTACAGCATTGCTGACGCTCACTCTCACAAGAGGGTCACACCAGGTCCCTGCTTCGTGGTGAAATGCTGTAGAATGCCTCGACCACTACGGAAATCTCTCTGAGGATTCCTAGGATCCCCACACTTCTACATGAAATAACCACCCCCCCCCCCCCCCCGCCTTTAGTTAAGTGATTTAAAATATATGCATAACTTCTGGGTAGACTTTTATTTTGCTAGTATCATCAAATCAAAGGCTTTTTAAACTCTCCCAAGCCTTCCTTTTTCTGGGACTGGCAAAAAAACAATACAGAAATGTTATTTCATCACCTAGGTGGTAGGATATGGCACCATGAAATCTCCAGTGCCAGAGGGTAAAAGATTTTGTACTGAAACAAATTAGCATCAGTGAGTCATATCTTGAATGTCCTGTTAGAAGAATCATCCATCAAACATTTTAATAAGTATGGCTTTCACTTTCCACCAGGTTATCTGGAAAGCAAGCATGTATTCAATTGTTTTAAACTATAAATTCAATAGACTGCTCCAGGAAACAAAACAAGAGAGTTTAAGTCTCCATTTTCCCAGTGAAAATTACTTAAAACTGGAACTAAGTCTATTCATACCTTTCCATAATATTCATACCTTTCCATAGAAAAGACTGAAATATTCTCTTTACCCATCCAACTGTCCTCAGCTCTAAATTATAAGTTTTCCAACAATTTTCACTGCACACATTGCCAAGCCCAGGATCAAATATGAGCTTTCACACTTCTCCATCAGGTGGAAAAAATGATTTTAATAGCTGAAAAAAATTAAATAATATAAAATCGAATTAAACAGTTTATCAATAATAAATGCTTGGCATTTGCTTTATCCAGGAAAAGAATAATGAAAATATTTCAAACAATTTTTCAACTAGCTTTCCAACAATTAGTATGGGTTTTTCCTTTACATAAAGAACTCCTGTTATGTTTCAATCTCCATTAAGTTTATAGACAGCACGTTTAATATGGTAAATTTAATTCATTCCTCACATTAAAATCACTTCAATAGCCTATTAATCCCATATTTTAAAGTGATCATTTGAAAGCTTTTCCTACAGAAGGCATTTGCCACCTTTACAGCTAGCTGGATGGCAGCTAGCTATATGTCAATTATTTTCCAACGCATTTTTAAGTTCGTTTAACACAATTATCAAGCTCGGGTAAAACAATACTACATAAGAATAAGAAAGTGGGGAAGTCTGTGAGTCCCCCACTTTTTTGAGTATCTTCAATTTTAAGAAGCCTGAATTTATTTCAACAACTGCTTAAAAATCAAACTACTCACATTTGAAAGACTACATGTCTGAAATTAATCCAGCAGCACTACACAATGGGTAATGTTTGCATTCTCCAATGTCCTACATTAGCTCTACGGAGATGGGTCCAGTGGCTGGGAGAAGTTTCTAAAAATTCTGCATCCGTTCCTGGTTAGTTCCAAGAGGTCTCAAGAGCGTTTGGGATTTCATTAAGTTATTCAAAGTAGGAAAATAACTCCGAGAGGCGGGAAGAACGCACTTAAAGTGACGAGCTTCCTAACCTCCCCCGGTGCCGAAGTTTCTCGGTGAGCTCAGCACTACTGCCCACTAAGTGTTTCGTTTGCAAATAGAAACGAAGCAAGAAAAACGTAAGTTCCAGCCCACGTCTTCCAAATCGGGGTCCCCCACCTAAAGCGGGCTGGCGAGAGGCTGGCCAACGTACGGGCTGCCGTCACTGTGAAGCTTCTTGCAAAAAGTGAAGACCAACACCCCAAAGAATGACTCATCGGGGGCTTTGTACGCGGACTTGGTTTGCTCTCTCCGCTTTCTGTCTCCCCCACTTGGTCGGGGGAAACGTCCGAGGTGGAACGAGAGAGAAAAGCGCTCCGGGAGGAGGTCTGGCCTCCCGAGTCCCGGCCCTCACCGCCCCCGCCCGGCCCGGCCCGGCCGGGGATTCCCCGGGCTGAACGGGACGGCGGCTGAGCTGGACAGAGGGAGCGGGTGTCAACTGCCAAGACTCGGCAGAGGCTTGGGAAAGAAAACATGTAAATCCAGTGAAAAAGTTTGGGGAAGGCATGCACACAGCACCCCGCAAGCGGGTAAACACGAGGTGGGGCGGCGGGAAAGGGGAGTGGGGGGGAACCC